GAGCGCAAACTGAACTCAAGCCCAGAATCGTTCTGCACGCTCGCTAAGCACCTGTTTCTTTTCTCCACTGCATGAATGGGTTAGAGAAAATGGCCTTTTGAAGTTCAACTGCCCCACATTCTGGGCTTGGCAGATGTCACTGCAACTTGATTCTCCTGGTGTCCCCAACTGAGGAGTCAGAAAGGAGAAGTGGCTCTGGTGGGGACTTTTCCGTTTGTGCTCTATCTGTCTGCGCCATGGTGGATGGAACCCAAGACCTCTGGCATGCTAGGCAGGCACTTTGCCACCGAGCCACGCCTGCTGCCCTGCCTTTCACTTCTTACTATTGTGTGTTTGTTTGTTTTAGCATCTGTGAATGTGTGTGTACATGTTCCTGTTTGCGTGTGCACAGGCACGTTGGAGGCCAGAGTACTTACCATTCGATGTCTTCTTCAGCTGCTGACTGAGCTGCTTAGGGTCTAGTCAAGCTGGAACAGGTTCAGAGTTCTTTGGGAAGACAGGACCCCTGCCGAGAGAGCATCCCACCAGACTAGCCCCGCCTGTAGTGCGTTTTCTTAGTTGAGATTGATGTAAGGCAGCCCAGATCCCGAGGATGGTGACGCTTGTTGGCAGTTGGTCCTGGGTGGTAGAAGAAAGCAAGCTGAGCAAGCCACAGGCAGCCAGACGGTAAGCAACACGCCTCCATGGCTGCTGCCTCTGTTCCTGCCGCCTCCGGGTTCCTGCCAAGACTTCCCTGGATGGTGGGTATAAGCAGAAAGGTGAAATACACTCTTCCCTCCCAGAGTTGCTTTTGACCATGGTGTTTTCACAGTATTAGAAACTGTAACTAAGACACTGTTGTTAGTATAATGTGTTTTTTTTTTTTTAATGTATACACCTTACCCTTGTTCATTTAAATACTAATTTCTCCCCCACCCCACCCCCAACTCTCTGGTTTCAATCCGGATATTGCATTGTGATACTCATTCTAAGCATCCTGTCTCAACTCTTGTGTAAACAGGAACAAAATAAAGCAACTAGACACGATGTTGAGCAAGGAGGAGCCAGAGGACAGGAAAGAAGGGAGGAGCCAGAAGGCGGGAGAGGAGTGGGAGGAGAAGGAGGAGAAGGGGTGAGAGGAGAGCTAGGAGAGCGGAGCTGGAGGAGAGATCTTGGAGGAAGTGGAGCATGAACCAGACCTAAGATTTCACAAAAAGCAAGTATAATGTGGGAAATCTAAATGTTAGGAAACTGAGGGCTTGAAAGTTTAGGAGGGAGTAAATATTGCCCAGCATTGTGTTCTAGGTTAACTAAAAACCCAGTCTCTGTGTGGTGATTTGGTTATACAGCTGTTTAAGATTAACAGCAGCATTACTAGAAGATAAACCAATAGTAAATATTAATCACCGCTTACAACACACTGTCCTTTTTTTTTTTTTTTTTTTGAGATAGGGTCTCTTACTGGGTCCTGGTGTTATCTGGTGGTTAGGCTAAGCTGGCTGGCCAGTGAGAATCTTCCTCTTCTGCCTCCCCAGCGTAGGACCACAGGCACATACTACCATGCCCGGCTTTTATGTGAGTGCTGAGGACTGAGCTCTGCTCTCCATGTGTGTGCAGCAAACTCTTTACCAACTGAATGATGTCTCCAGCACATACTTTTGAAAAAGGAAGGTTTGTTTTTATTGTTTTTAATTATGTGTGTGAGTGAGTGTGTGTTCGGGTGAGTGCAGGTACCCATAAAGGCCTGAGGAGTTGGATTCCCTGAAGCTGGAGTCATAGTCATGAAGTAGGTGCTGGGACCCGAACCCTGGTCCTCTTTACTATTGAGCCAACTCTCCAACCACTACTTTTATTATTTTAAGCTGTATGTGTGTTATGTGCACATGAGTGCAGGTGCCTGTGAAGGCCTGAAGAGGGCACCAGATCACCTGTATCTGGAGTTAGAAAGAGTTGTGAGCAGTCCAGTGTAAATGCTGGGAACTGAACTGTGGTTCAGCCATCTTTTCTAATCTCCTCTTATCCTCTTATCTCCTCAGCCATCTTTTCAGTCCCTCTGAGCATATTTTAAGATTAATTTTTTACATTTCATGCACAATTTCATATTTATATGCCATCACATTTGTTTCTGAGAGGTGTTTTTCTGTTTGTTTTTTTTTTTAGTTTTGTTTTGAGATTGGTTAATTAATTAGTTAATTAATTAATTATCTTGTTTTTCAAGCTAGGGTTTCACTGGCTGTCCTGGAACTTGCTCTGTACCACCAGGATGGCTTCAAACCCATAGATCTGCCTGTCTCTGCTCTCCAGTTGCTGGGATTGAAGGCGTGTGCCCCCCCCTGCAGGGCTAGTTTTGTTGTTGTTTGAACATTTGTTTTGTTAATGTGTGTGGAGCTGAAGTTGCAGTTGGCTCTGAGGCTACCCTTTCCCACCCCTACCCCCCCCCCAACAGATGCTGAGAACTGCACACAGATCCCCTGCATGAGAAGTGTGTATTCCTACCCACTGAGCCATCTCTCCATCACAAGTTTGTGGGATTTGGAGACAGGGTCTTACTCTGTAGCCCTGGCTTGCCTGGAAGTCAGTATAGAAGGCAGGCCTCAAACTTGGGGTGTCTGGCTGCTCCTGAGTCTGTGCTCACAGGCATGAAGCACTCATTATACCTTGGTAGACAGAAAATTCAAAAATAAGTAAAGAAAGGAAGCACCAGCTGGGGGGCTGTAACTCCACAGTAAAACAACTGACCACAGGAATGGTGCCCACAGTCAAACCCTTCTAGCCAATAATACAATTACAAGTAATCACACACATTGTTGTGAATTTGGCGTCTTGCCAGCCTGGCTTTCGGTGACTGGCTGGCAGCGCTTGTGCCGTCACCCACGGCAGACAGGTGCAGCGCATACCGGTGTGGCGCCCTAGGTGCATAGCAACTCACTCCCCCTGTAAAAGCTCTCTCTTGTGTCCTCTCTGTCACCATCTCCCTCTCATGTCCCCACTCTGAGTTGGCCTTTCACCCTTCCCTCCCTGCCCTGCACTGGATCTGTTGCCTGGTGTAATCTCTTATCAGTATACCTTGGCCCCAGATCACCCACAGGTGCCCTTTCTCCATCTGATTGGTGACACGCCTTGAATGCCAGCACTCAGAAGGCAGAGGCAGAAGGATCTCTGTGAGTTTGAGGCTAGCCTGGTCTACAGACATAATGTCCAGCACAGCCAGGACAATGAAGAAAGACAGTGTCTCAAAACAAACAAACAAAACAAATAATAACAATAAATGGAAGTGAGAAACGTTGCTGTTTGCATAGCATTTTCCAAGCCCCAGCTTGCCTGGCCCCACATGGCTGTGTGGCTCTAGGAAAGTTGCTTTCCCTCTCTGTGCTTGGTTTCTCCTGCGCACAGAGAGCTATTAAGAGTGCATACGATAAGGGGTGGTGGTGCACACCTTTCATCTTAGCACTTGAGAGGCAGAAACAGGTAGATTTTTGAGTTTGAAGCCAGCCAGGGTTACCTAAGTTCCAGGCAAACCAGGGCTACACAGTAACCTCCTGTTTTAAAACCAGAGTGTCAGCTGTAGGGGCCAAGTGTGTGGTGCATGAGGCCTTCCTTGGTTCAATTTCCCCCACATCAAAAAGAGAAGGAAAAAAAAGAATTTTTGTATACTCTTGGCTCTCAGGATGGTTCATTTGGTGAAGCCCTTGCTGAGAAAGCTCAAGGACCAGTGTTTAATCCCAAAACCCAAGTAAAACCCAGGGGTGGGGGTGGGGGATGCCTCAGTCCACAGTGAACTTGCCACACGAGGGTGAGGACCAGGCTTGATTCCCAGAAACCCTGTGAGAGCATTAGCTGTGGCGACACACACTTGTAATCCCAGTGCAGGAATGGAGAGGCGGGAGGTTCCCTAGGACTTGCCAACCATTGAGCCTATTAGCGTCTCAAAAAACAGGATAGCAAGACATGGTGGCACATACCTATAATCCAGGACACAGGAGTCAGAGGCAGAAGGATGTATCAGGTTCAAGGCCAGCCTGGTCTACAATGAGTTCCAGGCTAGCCAGCACTACAAGGAAAACCTTATCTCACAAACTTAAAACAAACAAACATTTAAACCAGGGGCTGGAGAGATGGCTCAGCAGCCAAGATCACTTGCCCTTGTGGGCAGAACCCCCACTGGACAGCTCCCGACCATCTGTGACTGCAGCTTCAGGGGCTCTGACACCCACTTCTGGCCTCTGTGGGCACTGAACACATAAGCACATACACACAAGAAAACACACATAAATAAAAATAAAATCTTTCTTTTTTTTTTTTTTTAAGCGTCAAAACTGAAGGACTAGAGAGTTGGCACAGTGGGAAAAGCAAGAGATGCTGCAATTGTGAGGCCCTGAGTTCAGCCCCTCGCAAATGCCCAAGAGATGGTGAAGCACTTACTGCTCAAGTTGCCAGATGACCCGAGTGTGATCCCAAAACCTCACAGAAAAAGTCCGGCACAGACACGCCTGATGTGTAGATCTGTAACACCAGCACTCCCACCGTGAGAAGGGAGGCAGAGAGCAGAACCATGCAAACGCTCTCAAGCCGTCTAGCCTGGACCAGCATGGCAGAAACAGGGGAGACCCTGAGCAAACGTGAGAAGGGCTTCTGAAAGCAGTCCTCAGAACCCCACGTGTGTGCCTGTTCTCGCTCTCACACACACAAATACTTTATTTCCTTTTTAAGTTCAAAGTCACCTTCTGCTAACAGGGTGGTTAGCCATCTGCACACACACACACACACACACACACACACACACACACACACAACCATGACGTGCCTACGTTGAGTGAGGTCGGCAGCCGAGGGTCTTAGGAATTAGGGGCATTTCAGAGGACGACGGCACAGCTGGACGCTGCCAACTCAGACTGCTCCTCCTGGCAGGCACCTGAGAAGAAGCCAACCTTTGTCATGCTTCCCTCAAGCGCAGCCACACTGGTTCTAGGATGTCAGCAGGTACACCCTGGGCGGAGTTTATATCCAGGGCTGTGATTAGGCTCAGGAGGCTTCCTCCGCCCTGAGTGAGGAGCCAGGCTGGAAGGAACATTGAACCACCTGCCTTCAGAGCCACCTTGTCATCCATTTCTCTGCTCCACAGCCAAATGAGGTAAGCACAGGTGAGGGGGTTGGGGCAGGTCTCCTGTGCCCTCAACAAACTCTAGGGATCCGGAAACTGGACACATTGGTCTCTGATCCCAGCCCACGGCTCTCTGGGAGGAGATGCCATTGCTGGCAAGTAGGATCCAAATCCTAGCTACCCCAGACCCTGGCCACCCCAGACCCTGGCTTCCCATCCTGTGTCCCAGCCTCAAGCCCCCCCTGGTTCCTTCAGCCCCTGAGTCCTCCATTTCGGAGTTTTCAGGCCTGGGTTATTCCAGTCCCTGAGTGGGTGCCCCAGCTCCAGGTTCCTAGCCCCATGCTCCTCCAGAACCCCCATAGCCTGACTTCCTGCACCCCACCTGCCATCCTACCCCGCTGCTTGCAGTCTTAGCCCCCTTCGCCCTTTTCTCCCTCAGATCTTTAGCCCTCTCCATACTGCTGATTCCAGGAGCAGAAGTAGATGCAAGGCAGAGTTGGGCTGAGTGTAACCGGATTTTCCTGTTACTGTTCCCGTAGCTTCCACATCAGCCTAGGGCCTCAGAAACGTGCAGTTGCCCCTGCCCTGAGGGAGGTGTGGACCCCAGATCAGGCCATCGCAGCATGCCCCCTCCCTCTGTTTGAGATTTCATTGTGGCAGCTACTCTCGTAAGCTGCCCTGAGAGTCATAATGCCAACATTTCTCGGCACAGGAACAAAAGAGGTGAAGGCAGCGCCAACGACAGGAAGGGTGCTGATGGGGTGGGCCAGGCCCAAGGCTGGCTCCTGTCTGTGGGCTGATATGAAATGGCTGCTGGGGCTAGGACACTCTCTGGATGGAGGAGGCAAATGGAGGAGGCTGAGCCAAAGGAGAGAAGGTAGAAAGAGGGAGAGAGGGAAGGAAGGAGAGGTCCTCCCCTTGTTTCTAGAGAGCTGGAAAAGGGTTCCTTCTTCTGGCATATCACCCCTCCAAGGGAAGGTTGTAGGAGACCCAGATAGAGGAAGGAACAAACCTGAACTTGCTTTGTTTTTTTTTTGTTTTGTTTTGTTTTTTTGTTTTTTTCTTTAAACATTGCCCCCCCCCCCCCATCCCAGGTGTTGAAACAGCCATAGAAACCAAGGCTGGGTCTGTGGTGATCTTTCTGACCACAGAGAATGAAAGGAGAATCTAGGCTCCTCCCCTTGCCAGCTGCAGCTTCCAAACTGCTACTCTTCAGTCTCCTGTGGCCTTAATCTTCCCAAACTCACTCAAGCTCCTCACTGAGCTCTTGGTTCTCAGCTTCTGAGAGTCTCAACTCCGGTCCCTATAATCTAGTTGGACGTTACCCTGAGGTAGCTGCGCAGGAGTGCGTGAGCACCAGTCTGAGAAACCTGAGCAGCTATAGCCGGTTCTAGTCAGCACAGTGCTCAGACAGTGCTGCAGACTCCAGCAGAGAGGTCAAGGCCACACAGCTCTGGCCACAACCCACAGTTTTGTTCGCTTGTTTGTTCTCTAGACTGGGTTTCTCTGTGTAGCCCTGGCTGACCTGGAACTCACTCTGTAGACCAGGCTGGCCTGGAGCTCAGAGATCCACCTGCCTCTGCCTCCTGAGTTCTGGGATTACAAGCGTGTGCCTCCACTCTGGGCCCGGAAGCTGGCTGTGAGATCTCCCAACAGATGCCGGGCCTTTTTTGACCTGCAGCCTCTACACCATCATGTCTCTTCCTGAGGAATGGGAACCAAACCCAGAGGCAGCCTGAAAACATTATTCCAAAACATCCAACTTTCCATTTTCTCGCACAAGCAGCCTGATTGTACTTCTGTTTGCTGTTGGAGATTCAGAGCCCTCAGATTAAAAGCCCAGAGCTAACAGGTTTGATTGCAAAGTGTGTTTTCCCAGTATTTTCCCATCAATAGAACTGACGCCAAGATGAACCTAGTGGAGCAGGCCTGACGTTCCAGATACTGTGGAGGCCAAAAAAGGGAGGGCAAAAAGTTCAAGGCCAGGCTAGGTATCAGAATGAATTCAGCCTGGGAAACGTTGTAAGACTTTGTCTCAAAAGTGAATAAAGTGAGGTATAGTAGAAGTTTTGGTGTCTTTACAAACTCCGTGGTGTTATATAAGCAGGTTTTGGTTTTAATCCCAAGTGAGGGATATGGGACAGCCTTAGTTTGTTCTTAGCTGATAACTGTCTCCTTCGGGGTGTGGTCTTTGCCTACTGGTAATGGCCTTGTGCAGCCTTAGTTTGTCCATAGCTGATAATTGCCTCCTCCGGGGTGTGGTCTTTGCCAACTGGTAATGGCCTCGTGCCACACAGAGAGGGGTGCGGTCTTTGGTCGGTTGCAGAGTGGAATTCTGAGGACTCTTGAGAGGGTATGAGAGCCAGTGAGGAAAGGCAAGGGCTCTGAGGAAACAGACAGAGGAGAAAGAAGGCTGTTTGTTTTTTCTGCTGTTGCTAGACTGCTAGATATCCTGACAACTGAGATTGGTATTTTCCCAAAGACCAGACAACCCTAACTAGCCAGAACTCTATGTCCCCTTTCTTTTCTAACCTTCTTTCTCTCCTGGGGGGTTGAAAGGGAGGTAGAAGCTTAAGGAACCCCAAACAGAGTAGAGTTTAAAAAACTAGCACCTACAGTGAGGACATGACGGCTCCAAGGTAAGGTTAAACAGGTTTTTACTGTGGGTATGAGAGAGAGGCTTAGCTGTCCCGCAGGCATCTGCAAGAGTCCAGACCAGGGAAAGTAAGACAGGGAGCAGTGGCCTTGGCCATGAGAGGAGAGGGCTGGAGGAGAGAGAGGGAGACGGAGAGTAAACATCAAGAAGATCAAGATAGAAAGACAAAAGAGGAATGTGATGAGCAGGGGTGGGGGGTGGGGGGGAGGCATTTAGACAAAAAGTGGCCTATGTGGGAAACCCCCCCCCCCCCCGCAAGGCTGCATCTAGGAATCAGATCCAGCTGAGCAAGAAGTGCACGACTACTCAAGGTATGACTGAGAAGGGAAACGAGGGGTAAAACAGCCACAAGCATTTGAAAGGCTCCAGAATGAACCTGGTCAGGATGGGGGTGGGGGAGAGAGTGTGCATGGAGAGACAGAAAAGAGATGGGAGAAGAAAGGGCAAAGGGCCTGCTGGGCTAGAGCTGAGTGGCCTTTCTAACCAAAGCCTCCAGGCTCTCCCAGCAGGTGGCTGGCAGGCATACCCTACCCTCTACCCTAAACTTTCCAGCCCAGGGTGGGGCTTCCCCTCTCCCAGAGGCTCTTCACTATATTGGTTCCCTTCTGTCTCTCTCTGCTTTCCTTTTCATCCATGTGCAGAGGCAAGAGCCAAGAGGATGTGCAGACAAAATGGCTGGGCTATACAGAAACCAGAGAAGCTGGGAGGAGGGAAGGGAAGCTCAGAGGGTAGAGAGGTAGGGGTAGGGGTGGGGTGTGCTCGCCAGGATGAGAGTCATACAACACTGAGAGCCAGGGTCCACTTTGATATGTCAGATAGACACCTCAGCCATTTATCCTGAGCTCCTTCGAGACTTAACATTCCAGCCTTTTGTTGATGTTACAGGGCTACTTAATCTCCTCCATAACTACTTTCTGCTGAAACTGGGGAGTTGCCATTATTGTTGTTGGGGCCCAGGAAGGCTGGAATGATAAAGGAAAAGAAGGGAGAGAGGAGTGGGGACAGGGGGACATCTGCTCTGCTCAATGTCCAGGGTCTGTGGGACCAACCCGGGCCTTGCAGGCCACTTTCGCTTTCCAGCGGTCTGGGGTGCTTGATGCGGGGGCTCAGGCTGGTGGGAAATTCCACAGAAGTGTCTGTGGTCGGCATGTGTGGAACAGTCTTTAGTTGACTGGAAACCTGCTGGGACTGACATAGACAAGGGACAGACGTTAAAGCTAAGGAGATTGTGAAATTTTTTTTATCTTGGGTGGTGTCCATTTGAAACTTCCAGGCCCGTAGTCCTTGTACTTGGGTGGCAGAGGCCTGAGACCAAGGAAAGGGGAAGTCCACACTCAGGGGGGGCGGTGGGGAAACGCTGGAGTCCATTTGACCTGTGGCCGGCGGATACAAGTCTCGGCTTCCCGAAGCTTGCAATAATTTAAGTTTACAGAAAGACATAAAGTTTTAGATGTATCAGCGTGACCAAATTCTGTCATACGTACTGAAGCCCGCATTGTAGCAAACGCATTTGTCTCGTTCGTGCCTTGAGTCATAGTGAAAGCTTGGAGGCCCAAACCATGATTCTGAGTTAAAAGCATGAGCACTCGCCCCTCTGTCCAGAGGGAGGATAGACAGACTGACAGAGACGTCAGCATGATAGAGAGGCACTAGTACATCTGTGCTTAGAAGACAACGGAGGGAAATTCAAATGTCTGAGCTTATGGTCATGATAAGAGTAGCACTACTTTATCAGTTTATCAGACTAGAAAACAGCGTATCAGATCTTCATTGATGAGTGAACCTTTGGAGTCCTAGTATGACAACAGCACAGTGAGGGAAAGACATCTGAAACATGTTTTTATTTCTTTGCATACCTTGAATCACTTTCTAAGACCTTTACAACTTGCATTTATACATTTTTTTTAATGTTTTATTTATTTTATGTATATGAATACTCTATCTGCATGTATACCTGCATGCCAGAAGAGGGCATCAGATCACATTATAAATGACTGTGAACTACCATGTGGTTGCTGGGAATTGAACTCAGGACCTCTGGAAGAGCAGACAGTGCTCTTAACCACTGAGCCATTTCTCCAGCCCAAATTTATTTGTTTTATTTATTTATTTGCTTTTCTGTGTATGTGAGTGCTCCTCTGCATGCCAGAAGAGGGCATCAGATCTCAGTATAGATGGTTGTGAGCCACCATGTGGTTGCTGGGAATTGAACTCAGAACCTCTGGTAGAGCACACAGTGCTCTTAACCACTGAGCCATTTCACCAGCCCCTAATTTGTTTTGTTTTTTTGTTTTGTTTTTTTTTTTTTAGATTTTTTTGAGACAGAGTTTCTCTGCGTAATCTTGGCTTTCCTGGACTCACTTTGTGAACCAAGCTGGCCTTGAACTCACAGAGATCCACCAGCCTCTGCTTTCCCAGCGCTGGGATTAAGGGCGTGCACCACCACTGTCTGCCTGCATTTATACATCTTAAGACACTTTCTTAGAACCTCACAACTTACTTAAGCTTTAAACCTTTTTTTCTATCCAATAATTTACCATGAGACACAAGTGGTTGATTAACAAGAACAGTCTTTTGCAAAGCAAGTTCCTTTACATAAAAGAATAGTTATTAAAAAAAAAAGTTATATTGAAAAGTAAGTTTATCTTTATCTCTATCAGTGTGAAATCTGTTAACAAGGTAAAGTGAATCTGTGTCCAGTCTTTCTCAGCAAGAGACCTAGGAGCTCTAGAAAACTGAGACCTGATTGTTCGGAATTAAACGAGCTGACCAGGCAGCTGTAGCCTTGCCGGAGCTGGTATGCTGGCTGCTGTCAACAAAAAGGTGCTGTTGGTTGGTCAGTATCCTCAGAGATCTGAGAGGGATAAATTATAGCAGGAAGTGCAATGCAGATGGCCTCTGTATCAGTTAGAATGACAAATACTCCCATGGAATGGATGGCTTTGTTTGGGGCAGAAGTAGTCAGTTTCCAGCTGTCACTCAGGTCGTTACATCTTCAGTTGTTCTGTAGGACAGCATTGGCCTTGGGCTGCCAGAAGGTCTGGGAGACTTTCCTGTTGAGGAGGAACCGGGGAAAACTGACCTAGTTATAAGGCAGGTGGCGCGGGCAGGGAGGGAGGGGGGTTTCAACCCAATAGTGTCCATAGTTTGGACAGAGCCTCAGCGGCCTGTCTATCCTAGGAAGCTTTTAAAAGAAAGAAAGAAAGAAAGAAAGAAAGAAAGAAAGAAAGAAAGAAAGAAAGAAAGAAAGAAAGAAAGAAAGAGAAAGAAAGATGTATACAGTGTTCTGTCTGCATGTACACCTGCAGGCCAGAAGAGGGCATCTGATTTCAGTATAGATAGTTGTGAGCCATCATGTGGGTGCTGGGAACTGAACTCATAACCTCTGGAAGAACAGCTAGTGCTCTTAACCTCTGAGCCATCTCTCCAGCCAATGGGAAGCTTTTTTACTAAACATATTAAATGCCATTTTCAGCAGATCTCTGGAGAGTTTGAGGACTATCTGTTAAGATTAGTTGAACTAAACAAACTTTGTGTTCAGTTACTTGCTTTAGATTTAACCTTAAAAAACATATACAGGAGGCTAACTAAAGCTTGTCCCTGTGAATGAGCTACATTTGTAGCCTGCTGACAAGCATAGTTCTGAGCACATTAACAAACCTGACCCTGTAGAAGGTGGGTGAGCATTAGCTTGCACGTCTTAATTATCATTAAAAGTTTAGAACAAATTAGTAGCTTTTATAAGATTAGTATTTTATAGCTTTACTCCTGTTAAGATTTAGCCTTAATTTTTTAATTAGTTAATTAATCAATTAATTAGGTTTTCAAGACATGGTTTCTCTGTGTAGCTCTGTACTCTCTTTGTAGACCAAGCTGGTCTGGAACTTACAGAGATCCACCTGCCTCTGCCTCCCAAGTGCTGGGATTAAAGGTGTGTACCACCACCACCCAGCTTATTTATTTTTTTTAATGATTTATTTCTTTTTATTTTATGTGCACTGTTGTTTTGCCTGAATGTATGTCTGTGTGAGGATGTCAGAACCACTGGAACTGGAGTTACAGACATAGAGCTGCCATGTGGGTTGCTGGGAATTGAACCCAGGTTCCTCTTCCTCTGGAAGAGCAGTCAGTGCTCCTAACTGCTGAGCCATCTCTCCAGTTCTGAGCCTTAGATTTTAAGTTAAAGAGCCAGATGGTGGTGGTGATACCATTTATCCCAGCATTTACCATGCCCAATGAATGCACAATTTTGAGATAAGTTACAATTAAGAGATTTTTGTTTTGTTTTGTTGTGTTGTGACAGGGTTCTCTGTGAAGCCTTGGTTGGGACTCACTCTGTAAACCAGGCTGGCCTGGCACTCAGAGATCACCTGCTTCTGCCCCCCAAGTACTGGGATTAAGGGTGTGCCTCACCACCACCCAGCTAGGTGAAAGTTTGTTTTGTTTTTTTTAAAGCAGAAAGTAGAAAAAGCTTAGAGATAAGAGACCTTTCGAAAAATTAGATAAAAGAGATTTGGGGATTGTCTTAGTTAAGGGCTCTTTGGCCCCAAGAGAACACCATAACCAAAAGCAAGTCAGGAAGAAAAATGTTTATTGGGCTTACACTTCTAGGTTGCTGCTCGTCATTGAAGGAAGTCAGGACAGGAACTCAAACAGGGCAGGGACCTGGAGGCAGGAGCTGATGCGGAGGCCATGAAGGGTGCTGCTGACTGGCTTGCTTCACATGGCCAGCTTGATTAGTAATCGAGAAAATGCCTTACAGCTGGATCCCACAGAGGTATTTTCTCAACTGAGGTTCCTTCCTCTCTCAAGACTCTAGCTGTGTCAAGACAATGCCAGAACCAGTCAGTAGAGGCATCACTCGTTTGCGCAGTGGCAGAGGTTGTTGCTAAGAGAACTTAGAAATCAAGTGTGTCTTTTTGGCTCTTGAACTGGACTGAGGCCAACCCGTTTACAGGAAGACAGGGAGGCTGTACTAACCTCTCAGAGTCTGGGGAAGAAAGAGAAAGGGTTCTACACGGCCAGGCCAGGCCGGCTTAAGGGAGCTGCAGGTCTTAGCAGGCCGCTCCCAGAGGGAGGTAGGGGAGTTCCAGGAGGGCGGGTGGAGAGGCAGACTGAGAGAGGCCTTGGGAAAAGGGAGTGTCCCCAGAGGTGGTAAATGTCTTTAGTAGGAGATGCCCTCCTGGGTGTAACAGGTCAAAGAAATGTCCAGACACCATCTAGAGGGCAGAGTAGGCTCCGAGGCCCAGAGAGGCAGAGAGATGCATGAGGAGGCATCGCAGGCTGCAGGAGCCTGAGAGGCCTGAGAGACACTGTGGAGTAGACAGGAGAGGCAAATGCTTAGAGTGGGAGGAAGGAAGAAGCCACTGGAGAGCCAGACTCTAGAATTTGAAGCCAAACATGGTGGGTGGCAGGAGCCAGCAGAAACAAAGGACCCGCACATGCCTTAGGGGAGTCAAGTCGGAGGCTGGGTTTGGAGAGCTGGAGTCCCTTGGAAAGGAAGTCATGAATGCTGCTCCCAGTTTGGTTTCAGCACCACATGAACAAAACATGAGGCTTTGATGGCCACAGGTACCGCTGAGGGAGACAGTGTACAGCCAGAGGCCTCTGGGGGGCGGGGGTCCAGACTGAACCAGACCAGCAGCCTGAACTGGGCCATGAGAGGAGGGGAAGGAGAGAGCAAGAGAGGCAATAGAGAGGAAGGGAAGAGAAGAGAGGTCAAATGGAGGAAGAGAGGTCCAGGAGTGGAGCCAAGAACCAAGAGAGGCTGGGTTATGTAGGGGTTAGAGGGGTTGAGGGTTAGGGTAGGTGTGGCAGCCAGGGTGACTCTGGAATAGGTCCCTGCAGTGCTGAGAGCCTGCCAACACACTTTGATATGTTAAAAAGGACCTCAGTTAATAGATAAACTAATTTAAAAAATATATAGAAAAGAAAAGGGACCTCAGTAAGGCATTTGTCCTGGGCTTCTTTGAGACGTAACACCAGTGATACTGCTTATAGTCACACACACACACACACACAGAAACACACACAGACACACACAACACATAGCAAACACCATGACGTGCACTTGACCAGCCTGGAGACCAAAAGCAATGCATTGCTCCTCACATCTTCAGGGCTGCTGGAGACTCCGGGGAGACGCCATCCTGACCTGCCGAGGAGCTTGAGAGTCTCCCTCAGGATCGATCCTTATGCCTGAGAGGCTGGAGCTGGACTTCTGGCCAAGGTACTTAGACTGTGAATATCAATATACTAAAGCAATAGCTTTTATTATCCTAACTACCTTCTTGCTCACAAGGATGAAGCGAGCCATGGCTGCAGGGTCATCTAGAAAAGAGAAGCTGGGGGAAGGCAAGCCCAGGAGCCTGAGGAGTTTAGGGTGAGGGGGCTGGGTGAGAAGGGCTGAGAAGAGACACAGGTACTGTGTGAGTCTGGAGCCAGGATGTGCTTGGGTTTGCTAAAAGACACCATGCATAGCCATCTGTCCCTTCTGACGTTGATCAGGAACGGCTCCTTTGGTAGAGGGAAAAGGGGGCACCTGAATTTGGGGGAGTGGACAAAAGGCAGAAGTAATAGGACTGGAAGTGTGGATTCAATCTGTTGTCGCCAGCCTGTAATCTCAGCACTTGGGAGTTAGTTCTACAGCTAGTTCTACAGCAAACTAGTCTGGGCTGTAGAAGGAATTCAAGGTCAGCCCAGGCAATTCAGACCATCTCACAAAGTTAAAACAACAAAGAAGGCTCAGGTAGAGCTCTGGCTAGAGGGCTCCGGTGAGGAGCTGGGGCGAGGCTCAGCAGTGGAACATGCTGGAAGCCCTGAGTTCTAGCTTCAGTACTATGGAAGAAAAAAAGGAAAAAGAAAAAACAAACCTGCAAGGACAGGGAGTAGGTAGGGTGAAGCCATCGCTCCATGTCCCCTCCACCCCTGCTCTGTCCTTACCTTCTGTGACTTGTCTCTGATCAGTCTCTTTCTTGCCTGTGTGTGTTTTATTGCGACAAAGACTCACACTGTGGCCCAGGCTTGTGTGTAGCTTGTGTGATCCTCCTGCCTCAGCTTTCCAAGTGCTAGGATTATAGACCCTGTCTGATAAAAGCAAAAATAAAGAAATAAATAACCTCTTGCGTATAGCTGAGCTGGGAACTTGACAGAGCCGAGCAAGGCCTTCCAGTAAAGTCAGAGGGGACTTGAAAGGCTTATCCCAATTGGAGATGACCCAGTGGGCCCACACTCCAGACTCATGCAGTTCATACCCAGGCACTGAGTCAACAGGCCTGAAATTGTTTGTGATGTGATCTGTGTGTGCATGCACGAATGCCTGTACATGCACTTAGCTGTGGAGGTCAGAGGTCAGAATGACTGTCTTCAATGTCAGGTGTCTTTTACTGAACCCAAAGCTCAGGAACTGGGTCTCGCTGGCTGGCTGGTGGGCTGTGCTCCATTTTGACCCAGAGCGCAGTGCTCCTGTTTACAGACTCCCGCTGCCAGGCTTCTGCGTGGTGCTGGGGCTTGAGGGCCTCAGGTTTTGGCCCAGGTGCTTTCCCTGCTGAGCCGTTTGCTCCGGTCTTATTTTTATTTATGTCTGATTTTTACTTATTTTTATTTATGTGCACAAGTCTGTGCCTGCTTAAGTTCTTACAGTGCCACATTTGTGCAGGTGCCCATGGCGGACAGAGGGTGTCAGATTTCTGAAACTAGAGTTACAGGTGTTCATGAGCCACCTGATGTGGTTGCTGGGACCTTTGCAAGAGCAGCCAGAGCTCTGCACCACTGAACCAGCTCTGGAACCCCTCTCTCTTTTTTTTTTTTTTTTCTTTTGAGACAGGGCTCTCTCACTGAGCCTATAGCTCATTGCTTAATCTAGACTGGCCAGAAGTCCCCCAATATCTTCCTGTCCCGCATCAGCTGCTGGGGTACAGAAACAGGTCGCACCGTGGTCACAGACACATGTACTACCAAGCTACTGTGTGAGTGCCAGAGATTCCAGTGCCTGCTCACGAGTGCTTTAACCACTGAGTCATCTTCCCTGTCCCGAATTCGTTATTTTGAAGAAGCTCACACAGCTCAGGCTAGCTTCAAACTCAAGCAATGGTACTGCCTTCAGCCCCCTGAGCCGGGAGATGGTGGAGAAGCGCCTTCACGCCCTGCCTGAGGAGTGTTTCGGCCTGCAGTGCTATGCTAACAGATCTGAGTTGACTCAGTAACTATACCTGTGTGACACTGCAGCCTGTAAGCTTTGATCAGTTTACAAGTAGCTTGATTTAATGCCAATATCCTCTTGACTCAGAGTCATCGGGCCTAAGCCTGTGGTCAGGACTGTGGGCCTCGGGCCAAGGCAGCCAGAAACCTTTCCTGGAGCTACACAAAGCCTCCTTTGAGGGCTCTCATTGCGGAGCATACTCTGTGCTCCTGACCACCTGACCACAAGGTGGTGAGGCTTCTAAAGAACCTGGGGACCCTGAAGGCCTCTAGGCTTCTCTTTCCTGGCACTCAGGTCTGGATCGTCTTTAGTTACTGGTCGCATCTGGACTTTGCCTAACTAAAGCTTAGTGTGTAAGCTGGTTACACCCTGGCTGCAGATGTCAAAGTTCATCAGCCTCTGGACCAATAGTTCTCAGCCTGTGGGTGTCAACCCCTTTGTGGTAAAATGACCCATTCGTGGGGTCTCCTAAGACGACCGAAAACACAGATATTTACGATAGAATTCATAATAGAAAAATTAGTTATGAAGTAGCCACAAAGATGATTCTATGGTTGGCAATCCCCACAACAGGAGCTGTATTAAAGAATCGCAGCACTGGGGAGGCCAAGAGCCGGGGAGGCCAAGAGCCGCTGGACTGGACAGCGCCTTCGGTGGACAGATGCCCCTGAACCCTGGGATGGAGGCGCCTGACATAGTCAAAGTCCAGTCAAGTCCCACTTAGTTTCTTGGTTTGTCTTAGAGCGTTTTGTTTGTTTTCGATGTTTTGTTCTGAGACAGGTTCTTATTATGTAGACCAGGCTGGCCTCAACCTCATGCAGATCTGCCCTCCTCCAGAGTACTCAGGTCGGAGCCGTGCCACAGCCGTACACAGCTCGGCTTTTTAAGATGTGTGTGTGTACATGCGTGTTTGTGCAGCGCCTGCAAAGGCCCGTAGAGAACATCTCACCTCCTTCAGTGGAGTTACATATAGGGTGCTATGAGCCCCGCAATATGGTGCTGGAAAGGAAACTCCAGTCCTCCGAAAGAGCAGCAGGCGCTTTTAGGCACCTCCCAACCCCTCTGTTTCTTTTGTTTTGTCTTTGTTTGTTTGTTGAGACAGTTTCTCTGTGTAGCCCTGGCTGTCCTGGAACTCACTTTGTAGACCAGGCTGGCTGATGTCACTGCGGTGCTGGAATTAAAGAATGCACCACCATGCCTGGCTTTCTAATTTTTTATTACATTTTTTTAATTTGTGTTTTGAGGGAGGTGGGGGGGGTGTGGAGGTCTGAGGACAGCTTGTGCTCTGTTCCCTCCTCCTGCCACGTGTGTCCTAGGGATCCAGTTCAGGTCACCAGGCTGGGCAGCAATGACCTTTACCCACTTATGCATCCTGGTGCAACCCCACATCCCCCTTTGGTTCACTTGTGCATAGGCTCATCATTTGCAGCCTTTGACTTGTTCCACAGAGGCCCAATTCACAACTGCTCTCTCTTCTGCTGAGCCACACCCTCAGGCCTGATTGGTGGGTTCTAGACACGTTCTCCACTCTGGAGCCACACCCTCAATCCTCTCTTCACTTTTCCAGATTAAGAAGTCACTAAGTTGCCCAGGCTGGCCTTGAACTTACAGTCCTCCCCCCTTTGGCCTGTAGCTCAGATGACAGGCTTTTACCACCATGCCAAGCTGGAATTACTATCTCTATCAACCAGTGGAGAAAAGAAGAGAAATTTGTGACAAAGTAGAAGATGCTCTGGGAGATTCTGAGGCCACAGGGAATGAGGCCCTACCACGGCCACGTACATTCAGGCCTTCAGCCTGGTGTGCTATTACTTAACCTAAAATGTCTACTTTTGAAAGGAATATTAGCTAACCGTGAGCAACCTCAGCAAATGTTGCTAATTGTGCTGAATGAAAGGCCCCTTCCCCTTCCCATGTCCCCCATAATGTCCCTGATTCTCTTGCTTTTTTTTTTTTTTTTTTTTTTTCCTTCTTCCTCATTTGAACACTTGCAGCACAAATTGGACATCAAACAAGCCATATTGGCTCACTGTCATTCCAACCCCGAAGCAGGAAGATTGGGCAACGCAGTTCCTGGCTAGACTGAGCTACCGAGGGAAATCCTGTCTCAAACAAACCCAAAAGGAAGCAAAACAGAGCCAGAGCCACGGTCCAGACGATTAGCCAAAAGGGCACCAGTATTTACACACACGTGGCTATCAGCACACACCTAACCTGCCGTGCTTTCTTTCCTGGCAACCATGGCCAGCGCCACGGTTCCTTTCTCCTTTCCTCTGACCCACTTTGTCATCTTTGTCTTCGTGATATCCACCATCATCCACCTCCAGCAGCGAATAGTGAAGCTCCGACCCCTGTCAGAGATTGAAATCCAGACGTTCCCAGTGCCCTCCGGAGACCCGGCAAGCGCAGAGAGGCAGGGCATGTTCACCATCAACTCCATTGGCCGCCTGGGGAACCAGATGGGCGAGTACGCCACGCTGTTCGCCCTGGCCAGGATGAACGGGAAGCCCGCCTTCATCCCCGCGTCCATGCACAGCGCGCTGGCGCCCATCTTCAGGATCAGCCTCCCCGTGCTGCACGGCGACACCGCCGGGAGGATCCCCTGGCAGAACTACCACCTCAACGACTGGATGGAGGATCGGTACCGCCACATCCCGGGGCGCTACGTGCGCCTCACCGGCTACCCGTGCTCCTGGACCTTCTACCACCACCTGCGCCCCGAGATCCTGCAGGAGTTCACCCTGCACGACCACGTGCGCGAGGAGGCCCAGGCCTTCCTGCGCCGCCTGCGGGTGAATGGGAGCCAGCCCAGCACCTTCGTGGGTGTCCACGTGCGCCGGGGAGACTACGTGCATGTCATGCCCAATGTGTGGAAGGGCGTGGTGGCTGACCGGGGCTACCTGGAGAAGGCCCTGGACAGGTTCCGGGCACGCTATTCGGCTCCAGTCTTCGTGGTCACGAGCAACGGTATGGCCTGGTGCCGAGAGAACATCGACGCCTCCCGCGGAGACGTGGTGTTCGCGGGCAACGGTATTGAGGGTTCGCCGGCCAAGGACTTCGCACTGCTCACCCAGTGCAACCACACCGTCATGACTATTGGAACCTTCGGGATCTGGGCTGCCTACCTGGCAGGAGGTGACACCATCTACCTGGCCAACTACACCCTTCCCAATTCTCCCTTCCTCAAAATCTTTAAGCCCGAGGCAGCCTTCCTACCTGAGTGGGTGGGTATCCCGGCAGACCTGTCCCCACTCCTTAAGCACTAACGCCAGCCTGTCGTCCGTCCCCCTTCCAGGTCAAGGCAGGAGGAGCCACTGTAACATTCAAGGGCAGAGCCTTCTTGTAAGAAGTGTCCCTTGGGCTGCAAACAAGAGAAGCAGAAACATCTTCGGAAAACGTAGTCACACACTGGGCACCAGCAGCTCCAAGACATCACTGGTGACCCCAGTTCTGGATAACAACCAGCAGGGCCAACGCCGTTCTTTAGCACAGCTGTCTCCTGGTGCCAGAAGGCCTCACAGGCAGACAGCCGCTGCCAAGGCGGCAAGAAAAGGCTCATTGCTTTCTTTCCCTTTGAGAGGTGAGAAGCAGCCACGTTTGCCCACTTAGTGGCATCATCATGAAGTACTTGACGCTGGGTACTTCACAAAGGTCCAGTGAGTGCCTCCCTGTGATGGCATTTCCATGGTGGGGCAGCGTGTGACAAGCATCAGTCCTAGGAAGCCTGAGCAAAGAGGATGGGGCTGGCTCTATAGCCACCGACCTTCACGAACTGACTGGAGCCTGCTGAGAACTGTTAGCCCCTCTGAAGGCAGTGCCTTTGATGACCTAGGAATGTCTCGTAGTCTGTTAGGATTTTAGTTTTTAAATTATGGATCGTATGTGTGAGTGTGTGAATGCAAGTACCTCAGAGGCGCTGGCTTCCTGGAGCTGGAGCCATAGGCAGCCAGGGATCCTCTCTTAACTGCTGAGCCCTGTCTCCAGTCTCCTATGCCTCTCAAAGGCCTCACTATCACCACGCTGAGGACCCTTTTCAAGTCCAATGAAAGCCGCACCTCTGCAAGCACTCCAGCTGGCTCCCTTGTCCCCTTGACAAGCCCCACCAGGCAGCAAAGGGTTGAGGAGGAGGTGCTGGATTGGTTTCGCCTGCGATCCGAAGGGGTCATTGTTCACTGCACAGTTACCTGGTCAAAAGGGAGGTGGGGGCTACAGTGAGCCCACAGTGCCCCCCACCAAGTTGCTTGTCGTTGGGACTCTGTCCACCAAGGGCTCCTTCATCTTGCTCAGTCCGTCTGAGGAGAACTCTGTGGGTGGAGCTCAGAGCAGCCATACATCCAATCCTGCTGTCCTTGCCTCCTGGAGACCAGCGGGACATCTCCAGTCCCAAGAGCCAGTCTGAGCTGCAGAGTTCATCTCAGAAACAGAAAGAACATGGCAAAATCCAGACTGGGCAGTGATGGCACACACTTTTAATCCCAGCACTCAGGAGGCAGAGGCAGGCAGATCTCTGAGTTTAAAGCCAGCCTGGTCTACAAAGCCAGTCCAGAACAGTCAGGACTACACAGAGAAACCCTGTCTCAAAAAAAACAAAACAAATATGCCTCTCCACAATTTCATGTTTTCTTTCTTTCTTTCTTTCTTTCTTTCTTTCTTTCTTTCTTTCTTTCTTTCTTTCCTTCCTTCTTTCCTTCTTTCTTTCTTTCTTTCTTCCTTCCTTCCTTTCTTCCTTCCTTTCTCTTTCTTTCTGTCTTTTGAGACAAGGTCTCTATATAGCCCTTGCTGTCCTGAAATTCATAATGTAGACCAGGCTGGCCTTGAGCTCTGCCTCCAGGGTGATAGGCTCAAAGGCCTGTGCCAGTCACACCCAGCCCATTTTTACATTCTTGAGAGTGATAAAACTGAGCTTGAGCCATTCCTCCATGAGGATGGGCAGGGGTGGGTGTTGCACATATTTGATCCCAGCACTCCAGAGGCAGAAGCAGGCAAGTGGATCTTTGTGAGTTCTAGACTAGCCTGGTAGAGGACAAAAATGCCTTGTGTACACAGATAAGCACTGGAGAAGCCAGGAACATTAAAGACACAGCTTGCTTCTTCAATGGAGTGAGGTGCACAGCTGCTCTTCCTAGAATGCCAGGAATGATGGAGTTTGGTGTTTTGTTTTGTTTCATGTTTGATTTGTGGTATTTTTTGGTTTTTTGAGGCAGGGTTTCTCTGTGTAGCCTTGGCTCTCCTGGACTCACTCTGTAGAGCAGGCTGGCCTCGAACTCACAGAGATCCGCCTGCTGGGATTACAGGTGTGCCACATCCAGCGGAATGAAGTAGTTTTACAGCCTGGTGATGCTTTGCTGCCTGGAGACAGGCTCTGTCAGAAGCTCCAGAATGTACTTATCCCACACCCTTTCCCATGTAGCCCAGGGAATCTTGGGCATTGCTTTTAGACCACGAACCCATCCTTATGTGTGATGTCACTTATGCTTTATTACAGCCTAGACTTCTACATTATCTTGGGGCCAGGATAGTCCTGACACCCACAAGCGCTGTTTACCTCAGTCATGCTCCTTTGATCTAAATCTTGGGCAGTTTTTGAGCCAACAGTACCCGTTCTTGTGAAAGAAGCCATGTGAACTGTGTAAAGAATATTAATGTATGTCTTAAATTGCTGTTCCCTGGGGGTTAATTAGTAGCTATCTAAACACTTTTTCCTACATTGTGCTATGCTTGAATATGGCTAAAGGAAAATGACCTGGGCAGACTCTAGACATCCTGGTCCAGCACCGGTTACGATTAATTCTACCTGAGCCAACTTTCATTCTGACCTCACCCTGTTTGTTTGTTTGTTTGTTTGTTTGTTTGTTTGTTTTCTCTGCCTGCTGTAAAGCTTGCTGGGGGATCACCACAGCCTGGTCTTCATGGTGAGTTCCAGGAGAGCCAGGGCTATGGGGAGACCCTGTTTCAAAAACTCAAAAGAGAAAACCAAACAACAAAAAATGAATTAAAATTGACCACAGTGGTAAATGAACTGAGTGTATGGAAAACAATGAATTTTTACCTATCAATGGGTGGATCATGTGGAATGTGAATTCTCTCTTCAAATGCTGTCAACATAGACCAGCTCTGTGTCCACTGAAAATATTTTTGTTTTGTTTTTCCAGACAGGGTTTCTCTGTGTAGTCCTGGCTGTTCTGGACTCACTCTGTAGAGCAGGCTGGCCTTGAACTCACAGAGATCCACCTGCCTCTGCCTCCCCCAGTGCTGGGATTACAGACGTGTGCCACCTCTGGACCCATCCACTGGTTTTTGACAGTCATATAGTTAAGTAACCAGAATCACATTTAAGATAAAGAAGGATTCTGTGTAGTAGCCCATACATCTAATCTGAGCCCTCTAGAAGCTGAAGACTAGCAATGTCCAGTTTGAGGACAGCCTGGGCTACATAGGGAGACTTGTCTTGTGGGAGGGGAGGGAGGAAGGAAGAGAGAAGGAAGAAGGGAATGGAAGGAAAAGACACACCTTACTGACTGAAGATCAAGGCTAGCATGTGCACCCTGAGGCCGGGGAGGGGCGAGAGTATGGCCACACCAAACTTGCACCAGCCTTCCAAAGCTCCACCTTCCAAAGAACTCCTTGGCCACCCGGCCCTACCTCTCCCGGACTTGTGCAGGGCCCCACAACACTCTCTACACAAGGCTGAGGTAGAGGGTGCCCTCTGGCTGAGGGTAGATGGTGACAATGGGCAGATGTGAGTGAGGCTTGGTGAGAGATTAGTGTCCAGGGGCCCAAGACTACAGGACAAGGAAATAGAGGCAGCTGTGGCTGGGAAAGACTGGGAGAGGGAGGCAGCCAGAAGACGAATCAGAGATGGCAGAGGACAGTGGAGGCTAACTGGAGGCCACAGAAAAGGACCTCGAGGCCAGGGACAGCATGAGAGTGACATGGAAAACAAGGGGGCTGGAGAACAGCTGCTCTTATAGGCGCTGTTGTAGTTCCTGGCACCCGTGTCAGGCAGCTCACAAGCCCAGCTTCAGCTGAGTTACAGGTTCTTCTTCTTCCAAGGGCTTAAGTACATACGTGGCATGCCCCTACACATCCGTACACAAATTTAAAAATGCAAGAAATCAGAAGGAAAGTATCTAGAGGCAGAAGAGGAAGTCCGCTAGACCCCGGTGACCCTCCAGGCCTGGGAACCCCTCTGTCAACTGTCAGAGGGTGCTGCAGGCCAGCTCTGTCCGCCTCTGGCCTGGTGGGTCACCGCCTGTCTGCTGTCCCGTTCAGTGCGCTCAACCTCGTCAGCTTCCCGGGGAGCTATCTTCCTTCCCACGTCAAGGTCTTCTCATGTTCCCTTTCCATCTTCCAGAAGGTTCTCTACCCTCTTAACTCTTGGAGGCCCCTAACCCTTGGAGGCTCAGCTCTTTCTCAGACCTCTGTTCTGCTCCCCAGCGTTTCTGTCCTTTTCCAGTAACCCTGATCTGCCATGGCTCCATGATCCCACAGAACAGCCACAGAAGTGTCAGTCCGCATTGGGACTGTGATCACTGAGCTTTACTTGAGTGCAAACTCAGGCTCTTGGTTTTCTCAGTCCTGAGGGCCCAGGTTATACACGGATACATCTGATTGTCACCCCTCATACATACTCCCTCCCCCTTTAACACTAGTCCCTCCTTTTCTGATAATCTTACTTCAACAGAAAATCTTACTTCAACAAAATTTCCCATCAGGCCCTCATATCCTCTCTTTCTTTTGTGCCCCAGGGTCTGATGTAGCCCGGGCTGGTCTTGAACTCTCTATATAGCTGAAGGTGAACTTCTGATCCTCCTGCTTCAGCTCTTCATGCCTATTGCCCTGAGGGCTAGGAGTACAGGTGTGTGATACCACTTCAAGCTGAACTTTCATTCTTGAAAGTCCTGGGCTACTACCCAAGCAGTCCAGTGATCCCAGCAGAGACAGAACATGTGGAGGAGAAAGGCCCAGCTGGAGTCAGCTGGAGCCAGCCCTCTCCCCACCTACCTCCACCACTGTACCCACCTACTTGAACGCGCCGTATTGGACGTGCTCGCTGCTCGCCCATGCGGGCCCTCCAGTATCTCATGGAGCTGCAGAATAAACTGTAGTCACTTACTTCCTGCTACGCTTTGACTATACATTGTCTCACACTGGCTCATGTGTGGCTGTTAGTGCTCTTTGGAGAGGTCTGAAAATCTCATCCTAGCTCGCGCTCTCTCTCTCTCTCCCACCATGGTGTCCCACCCACGTACATGGGGCCAAGCAACAGAGCAACCACAATTGAGTCCTTCCTCCCTTAACTCTCTCGAGTCCACTGGTCATGGCTATGTGAAGGTAACTCATGTTCTGTGGGTTTGTTGAGAAGTGGAATGTAGGTGCAAATGTCTAGACTCTTGAGCTTCAGGCCACAGGAGATCCACAGTTTAATTCACCAGGCAGGTACCCTCACAACATGAGGTGGAGGCCACATTTTAGCGCCTCTTCCCTATTCTCCATCTCCCCACCTGGCTCCTGGAAGAGCTGGGTGTGATGGCTCAATCTGTAATCGCAGCACTCAGGGACACTGAGGGGGTGGAGGTGGGGAGGGGATCATCGGTTCAAGGTCACAGGGAGGTTGTCGTCACCCCCCCACTAGTAGCCTCTGGTCCTCTCACATCTAACTAGAACTCAGGGGTGCCTTGCTTCTACTCTCAGCTGGTCCTTTCCTAAACCCCAACAACACAAACTTCCAGATCCCCACATGACAAGCAGCCATGCAGGGTCTGGAGGAAGGTCTCTGAGGGAGGCAGTAAGCTTGTTTGCACTGGCCAGTAGCAAATGAACCCCCAACCCCAACTACAGGGACTGGGAGGGGTCACGCAGAGGGCAGGTAGGCAGGTCTAGGCGTTTGCATGTCAGCAGCAGTGGGCCAGGAGGGGATGAGGGCATCTTGAATCCTCTGTAGTTGAAGGGTCCTTGTGGGTGCAGATGACCTCTCCTTGGAAACCGCAGGGTCTGTCACCATGGATCTGGCAGCAGCTCCCAGAGACGAGTGCCACTGGGGTCAGATAAGTCCGCAGAGAAGATGCTGGGGCCTGGAGGCCCAGAGCCCAGCGGAGGACCCCCGCTCAAGGCCTCCAGCCAGTCCAGGGAATCCGTGAGGGCTCTTGGAGAAGGGGACTGGGAGCTTGTGGGGGACGGGAGCGAGGAAGAGAAGACGGAAGGGAAGCCTTCTGAGTCCGGGGAGGGAGACAGCACGTCAAATGAGCCAGGGAAGTCCAAGGGGATGGGCGGCAGCAGCTCTGCAGGAGGGGTGAGAGCTTTAGGGGGATGGGTCCTGTTCACTGCGCTGTTTCCCACCCACTCCTCCCTCGAACCCAGGAGTTCCAAGTTCTGCTCCTCCCCTAAATGCGGGAGCTCAGTTCCTACCATCTGGCTCCACTTGGTCTTCCAGGATGTCTTCGATGCCCCGGTTCGGAAGCAGCTGTGGATGAGCACATGCCACGTGACCCCGGGGTCCGGCTTAGGTCCAGAGGCCAGTCCCCAGGTACGCCCCAGCCACGCATCCCCTTCCACCTGCGCCCTCCGGATCGCTTCCTGCAGCTCCTCCTCCAGAGTCAGGCTGGCTGGAGAAGGTGTTGGCAAGGGAGCTGGAGCGGGAACGGGAGAGGGAGCCGGAGCGGGAGCCAGAGCTGGAGCGGGAACAGGAGCCCGAGCCGGAACAGGAACGAGAGCTGGAGCCAAAGTTGGAGCGGGAACGGGAGCTGGCCCCAGGGGATCCGCAGCTCCAGAAACCCTCAGCCGAGGAGTTGTAGCACTCGCCTTCACCTAGAACCAGGAAAGGTCACTAAGCCGGCTTATCAGGCGTGGCTCCGCCCCCTTCCCCTCCTTGGCTTCACCCTATTCTTTTTATTTTTTAACACTTTATTTACTGTTTTTATGTATGTGCGCACGTGTGTGTACCTCAGAGGACCACTTCCAGGGTCGGTTCTCGTCTTCTATCTTGCAGATCTTGGGGACCGCAAGTAGGCGCTGCAATGCCTAAATAAGCTCGCGGCCCATCCCTATCTGTCATTGGTTCTTTCTCCCTTAAACCACGCCCTTCGGGTGCTCTCAACTACATTCCCAGGGCAACCAATGACTGGCCACGCCCCAAACCTTAGCGGCCTCTGATTAAGACCCGTCCCTAAGTGCAAGTCACGATTCCTTGCCAATCTTTTATTCCCTTCCTTCCTTCCTTCCTTCCGTTTTTTGTTTTTTGTTTTTTTTTTTTGTTTTGTTTTGTTTTGTTTTGTTTTTTAGACAGGATTTCTCCGTGTAGCCCTGGCTGTGCAGGAACTCTGTAGATCAGGCTGGCCTCGAACTCACAGAGATCCACCTGCCTCTGCATCTTGAGTGCTTGGATTAAAGGCGTGAGCCACCACTGCCCGGCCTCCTTTCCACAGCATTTTTAAGTATTTATCTATTTGTTTTATTTACTTATTTATATGAACACTATTTTCAGGTTTGCCTGCATGACAAAGGGCACCAGATCTCATTATAGATGGTTGTGAGCCACCATGAGGTTGCTGGGAATTGAACTCAGACCTCTGAAAGGGCAGACAGTGCTCTTAACCTCTGAACGATCTCTCCAGCCCTCCTTGGCAACATTTCATTGGCTATTTCTTTTCCAAGATCTCTCCCAATTCCTCTTGTAGAACTTTACCGGCCCACGTGTACCCAGCCCCGCCCTCACCGTGCTGGGACGCCGGGTAGTTCCTAGCGCCTTGGGCCTGAGACGCGGCCAGGGAGCCCCCGCCTCTTTGTCCACGCGCCGGAGCTTCAGCCGCTCTCTGGGCGGGGCGCCACCACGCATGCGCTCCAGAAGCATCGCTTTGGTCCCGGACACCGGGAGTCCCCGCAGGCGCAGCTGTTGCCGGAGCTCCGAGACCTGAGTTGGGGGCAGGGAGAGGAGGTGCTGATCGAGCTCTGGGGAGGGATGACCAGGAAACCAAGAGGTGGAACCACAGTCCAGACCGACTTTCCTAAGACAGAAGCCAA